AAATAAATGATAAATTTTATAAATATTAATAATTAAAATCATAATTTTTTCTATGACTCTATAATTATTTTTGAAAAGATGGATTGAAATGTAATTCCCAAATAAATTTGGTACACATGTTATACAAAAACAAAAAACCAATATTTGGTCAGTTGGTGGAGAGTTGGCGAGCAGTGGTGGCTGAAGTGTACGGGGGAAAGAAAAAAGGTTTAACTTGTCTCTATTGGAGATCAAGATTGGACCTTCTAGTCTACTCTGTGAGTTTATTTTTGGGTTTTACTTTGATAATTCAAACTGTTCATACTGTTCACATTTTAGGGTTTATCGAATATATTATCTCTGTAAAAAAATCAAGTCGATTTGATCACGGCAACTACATGTTCGAATTAATTTTATATGAAATGTTTATTTTTTCAATGTTTATTTTTTATATATAAAATTGATTCGAACACATAATTGCCGTTATCTGATCGATTTGATTTTTTTATAGAGATAATGTATTTAACGAATCCTAAAATGTGAACGGTTCGTGTTATCGAAGCGGGGTCCAAAAGTATGCCCATGGAGCATAGTGGAGGGTCCAGCCTTAATCTCTAACTGGACACAAATTGGACCCAAAGAGAAGAAAAAATAAGAACTTGTTTTCAAAATAAGTATAAACACTATTTTTTGATTTCTCAAATTTTGGGAATTGTTATCTTTTTTTTTAACAAATATAATTTTCAAATGTATTTTTCTTTTCAATTTTGCGGGTAGGCTTGGCGTATTTGTAAGATTACTTTGTTGTAATTTGTGACTTGGGCATCATGGGTTGAAATTACGGAAACAATGCCCACACTTATTTGGGGAATAAAAATAAATTGGATAAAAAGAAGAAAAATACTTGATGGCCTGAATTTGTGTGGCTTGAATGACTCGAATGTATCAAAATGTGATTATTTTACATTTGAAACGACGTCGTTTTGAGCCATTCGAGTCATAAAAATTTAGACCACCTGACAAAAAGAAATCATGTAGATCCCACATATTTTTTAGGATAGGATAATACCACCTCCACTTGGTTTCCTCCTCCATAATGGAAAACATAACCTTTCAAATTTTATATTATTTCAAATAAACATAGTATAATAACTCACTTTATATATGAATCCCATGTAATATCACCAAATATATAAACAAAATAGTGATTCTTCAGTATCATTCATCTTTTAAGGGTTGTTTGGAATGACCTAAATAAGTGTGCTTTTTGTCTTTTTACGAAAAGATGTACAGAAAAGTAGAGAGATGATGTGATGAAAAAAAAATAAAAAGATAAAAAGTGTATACTTATTTAGAATAACCAAACTTAACCTTAATATCTCTAATCTTATTTCATTAATCAGACATATTTACAATATATATATATATATATATAATAATACAACAAAAAAAATCATACAAATGCATTAACTAAATTTTTTTATTAAATGCTATTGAAATATCACATGACCTTGCTGTACTGTCACTTTAGTGAGTCAAGCAGACCTTATTAGTGTGCGACTTGGTTGCCCTGAAAAAGGACTGACTAGCTTTATCCAATGGATACTCTCAAATAGGGGTGAGACTATGTGTAATTCAGCCTCCGTTTGGGAAGTGGATTGGCTTTTTGATTTTTTGGTTTTTTTGACTATTTTAGTCTGGGCTAAAAAGCTTGGTTTGAGAAGGGCTTTTTGGCTTTTTGACTTTTTGACTTTTTTGACTTTTTTTGTGAGAGAAGAATGTAATGATTATGGGTTGGATGTGATGTTTTGTTTGTTATGGCTAAAATAGCCTATTTTGTTTTTTGTGGCTAAAATAGCCAAAAAAGCCTCAAAACCATCTTGCCAAACAGAGGCTCAGTGGCGTCAGACACCGCTGAATTTTTAAATTTTGTTTAAATATATATGAAATTTTTATAATAGTTTTGAATTTTAATAAAATAACCCTAGTGTTTGGAGTTATTTATTATTTAGTGGTGTTAATTTTAATAAAATGACTCCAGTGAATCTAGATAAATATCACATATATTTGGAGTTATTCATTGTTTAGTGGTGTCAATTGTAACTCAGTGTTCGTTCATTCATTTGCTCCATCAACACTTCATTCTCTAACAATCATTATTACATTATCATTAATACATTCTCTGAATGATTCCATTAAAAGAAATTTTTGACTACGCCCCTCCTCTCAAACATAGGAATGGAACAAAAAAAGGGGCCAAAATTTTTAGTTGTTTGCATTTTGGATTTATTTTGCTTTGGATTTATGGGCAAGGATCCTCTAGAGTGATTTTTTCCTAAAGTTTCCTAAAGTGCTACAGTGTATGGTTGAGATTTACTGGCAAGTCACATCAATTTTTCTGATGTGACATGCCAATAAATCTCAACCATACACTGTAGCACTTTAAGAAACTTTAGGGAAATTTCACTCTAGAGGATCCTTGGTGTGGATTTATTTACTTTTTGGAGCTTTTGGGCCGGCATCAAAGGCGCGCAAATTGCGGTCTCACATCATTCTTTCTTTGTGGCAATCAATTTTATGATAATTAATTAATTATTATAAGTGTCACAATCTAAAAAGAGAAGATTTTCATGAATTATGTTTGCCTTATGTTTAGTGTAAATCTTTCTTATGTGTTAGACTTTAATTCAAAAAATTATTATTTTTAGTGCAATTTTTTCTAAAAGAAAATTAATAAAACATTTTTGTATAATTTTTGATAGTAGGAGAAATTTAATATGTTTTTTTTTTATTAGTTAAGGTCTATCAATAATATTATTAGAGAAATTTTAGCTTATTAAATTTTTCTGTGACAAATTTCTCTATTAAACTTATCTTTGAAGAGTTGAAATTTTCCTATGCTAAAATTTCTCTGTACCAAAATTTTTCTATAAAAATGTTGAGAAACCTCGATTACTATAAAAATATTATGTATTTTTTATCTTTTAAAATCTTAATATTATGGATCTTAAACTAAAACCCCATTTTTTAAACTATCCAACTGCTCAATTGAAAAGTTATAACAAGAAAAATTATGTTGAGGATTTAGAAATTAGAAGAAAAATAGTGAGTTACAATACTTTTTCTCCCTTTAAACATAGATGGCCAAATAATTTAAATTAAAAATTTTAAATTGTTAGAAGTATGAAATTCTATTTATATATATATATATATAATTTATATTTTCAAATATATTTAAATTTAATTCATTTATTTTTTTGAGTACAACTAGAAGAAATTGAATTGAACGGATCAAGAACCATCCAATCATAAGCAACATAGTAACTTAAATTTTTGGTCGAATTATAAATATATTTTTGATGTTTGATTAAAATACAAATCATTTTTTGTAGTTTTGAAAATTATATTTCACCTCCTGAGATTTTTAATTTCATAACAAATCACCCATTTTATTAATAAATTATCAAATCAATTAACAGTTTTTAATAATGTTATAAATATGTTTTAATTAATAATTTAAGTAATTTTATTATTGTATAGGAGAGCAATTATGAATTTTATATTTTTAATTAATTTTATTAAATAAAAAATATTAATGAGGAGATATTTATAATTTTTTAAACCACAAGAAGTACTTTTGTAATTTATCCTAAATTTTTATACAGGCATGTAGTAATGAATTTAAAAAATAAATTTTAAAATGTAGTTATGTTCTTTCTGTTTGGAATCTTGTAAAATTTTAATTTATCAAAAAAAGTGAACAAACTTTTTAACAAATCCAACCCAAGTTAAACTTAGGCAAAAGGGACAATTTTTTTATAAATCTCTTTTCACCTATTTATATTTTATTTAATTTATATTATTTTTTTATATTTCAATAAGTCTTATGCGGGACATACTTACTAAAATATCCCTAACAGTATTCACATTTATAGTGTGAATATTTCGTGATGTGAATGTTTACACCGTCGATGTGAATGTTCACACCATCAATGTGAATGTTTATATCGTCAATGTGAATGTTCACACCATCAATGTGAATGCTAACATATCAATCTGAACGTTCACACTGTCAATGTGAACATTCACATTGTAGAATATGAATGTTCATATTATCAAATTGCTAACCGTTCAAAAATTATTTGTAAGGGTAGAAATGTCCATAAAATACTTTAAATATAAGAATTAAGATTTGGTTGATCAAATATTCAAATAATAGAACTTACTAGAATACAAGAATATCTTATGGATTAATTAGGATACAAACACTTGAAAAATGACTTTCTAATAAATTTTCTATAAATTGGGACACTTTTAAATCATCATTAAAACACTAAAAAGAAGGATAAATTATAAATACACCCTTGAAATTACAAATATCTCCCTATCAGAATTTTTTATTTAACAGAATTAATTGAAAATGTGAAATTTCTAAATGTTTACCTATACAATAATAAAATTATCAGAATTATTAATTGAAATAAAATTTTAATATTATTAAAAATTATTATTTAACTTGATGATTTATTAATAAAATGATTTATTTGTTATGAAATTAAAAATATTGGGAGACATAATGTAATTTTTAGAATCATATGAAATAATTTGTAATTTAAGTAAATCTCAAGAAATGTGTTTGTAATTTATCCAAAAAAAAAAAAAAAAAAAAAGTCTATTTTCCACTAAAAAATGAACTAAACAATTTTCAAACATCCGTTTTTTTTTTTAAAATTGTAAAAGAAAACAAAAACACTGAAAAATTACTTGAAAAAAAAAAAAAAAAAAAAACCACTCTTAAATTTGTTTTAAAATCATAAAACAAAATGGGGAGAATTCTATTCCATTTAACGAATGGGAGAAGAAAACATTTTCATATTTAAACTTGGAAATTGTCTATAAAAAATGAGAAATAAACCAAAAATTGAGGAGAGAGAGAGATGTAATTTCCGACCAAAACGCGTTTTTGTTGTTGTAGGGTCGAGCAGACAAACCTGTGCCGAGTAGATATGAATTTATAGACTATAAATTTTCCAAGTAAACCAATCGATCTGGTATATACCCAGAAAGAGGTCAGCCATTTTCTCGACTTCCAAACACTTTTTAAGCAGTTTCTGTTCACACCAAGCTCCTTGCCTTTCCATGTTGATGAATTGTTCAAGCAATAACATAGGGACTCTGTTCCTTTGTGCTTATTTTTAGTGGATTTGATTCGATCTTTGATCAATATATTTTTTGACTCTCAACTTCGTTAGGATTTTCTTTCCCTGTTGTTATTCACTTGAATTTGTTATTGATATTGAATTTTGCATTTCTTATACTTCATTTTTCCGAGCTAATTTAACCTTTTTTCATTGAATTTTTGGACTAGTTTGAGCTAGTGATAGAGGGTTTGACTAGAATACAGTATTGGGTTTTTGATCAGACGATCAGATTGGATTTTGCATTCCTTATTCTTCATTTTTTTCTGCTAATATAAGCATTTTTATACAATTTTTGGACTAGTTTAAGCTAATGATAGAGGGTTTGACTAGAATATAGTATTGGGTTTTTTAATCTAACAATCAGATCATCTTTGTTCATTCAGCATAAGCAACAAAGCTAGATCTTAATGGTGAAAGTAAAGGGACTGTTGAGCAGGTATTGAGTATAGCAGTGTTTATCAATGGGGAATACTTGTGTTGGACCTAGCATTTCAAAGAATGGTTTCTTTCAATCGGTCTCCGCCGCGGTGTGGCGATCCCCATTGCCAGGAGACACTGCCTCCGCCACTAATAGAGAAAGTGTCCATGGGACACAATCTTCTATCAAAGAAGAACCTGAATCGCCTATGCCGGTTCAGAGTAAACCACCTGAACAAGTGAAAATCCCAGAAGTGGAATCAAAACAAGAGCCACCGGCAAAACCCAAAAAGCAGCCACAAATGAAGAGGATGGCTAGTGCAGGGCTTAGGGCAAATTTGGTTTTACAGACCAAAACCGGTAATTTGAAGGAGTTTTACTCATTGGGGAAGAAACTAGGGCAAGGTCAATTCGGGACAACGTTTTACTGTCTGGAGAAAGCAACAGGAAAAGAGTTTGCCTGTAAATCGATTGCTAAGAGGAAGTTGTTGACTGAAGAGGATGTGGAAGATGTGAGGAGAGAAATTCAGATAATGCACCACTTGGCTGGGCATCCAAATGTTATATCAATCAATGGTGCTTATGAGGATGCTGTGGCTGTTCATGTTGTTATGGAGTTGTGTGCAGGGGGTGAGCTCTTTGATAGGATTATTCAACGTGGGCATTATACAGAAAGAAAGGCAGCCGAGCTTACTAGGACCATAGTTGGCGTGGTGGAGGCCTGTCATTCTCTAGGAGTTATGCATCGGGACCTAAAACCCGAGAATTTTCTCTTTGTTGATCATCAGGAGGACTCGCTTCTCAAAACAATTGATTTTGGATTATCTATATTTTTCAAGCCAGGTATATATTACTCATGAATATTGTTGAAGTTGTTCTTGTGATGTCTTAAAAGGGTATATATTAGGTATTAAGATTGAAATTTATGGGCAAAATTGAGTTAGCTGTCTGTAGAAATGCTTAAGTAAATGTTATTTCCTGATACAGTGCCTTCTTATTGTTTTACCTTTGTCTTGTTAATTTATGTATTCAAATAGGTTTTCTACAGCATGTTGTACACAAAGGAAGCATCAATGAGAGAAGTTTTAGTGGAAGATCTAAGTACTAAGAGAGAAATGGAACTATAGAGACTGACTTGGCTACGTAATTGTCTTTTAAAGTGTTGACACTGAAATCTTCATGTTCATGTCGCATTGCTAGATTTTATTCACTTCTTTAATGAACATTACTTATAAATAGACATCCATGCCTTTGGTTCTGGTTTTTTGGACGGCATACTTTGATGAACACTTGCTGATACTTAGGTCACTAAATTACCATATTTTTTTAAAAAAAAAATTTGGCAGATTTCATTCTATATTTGATAATGTCTTTCCGGAAGTTCATTTTTTGCTAATATCTTCGGATTTCCAGTGGCGCTGTAGGTCAAATCTTCTTTCAGTAATTATCCTTTTTTATTTGGGTCATTTTGTGGGTCTGGGAACTTTGATGCCACCATGCTATAACCATACTGGGTCTATTTTTTAAGGTATGATGGGCTAATAGAATTCAAATCTTCTATAAAATATGAATGAACCTGCAGTTGTATGATATGAATTATGTTGTTCTTCATTACTGTTAATTGTTTAATGTTATTACTTGATTATTCCATATTTAAAGTGTTAACTACCTACAAAATGGATTTCGCTATACTGTGTACTCCAGAAGCATAGCAAAAGATAAAAAAATACCACTATACCAATATCTACAAAGAAAGATCTGTAACATCAATAAAGAAAAAGTAGAATCACAAAATTTTCCTTCAAGCCAATAATGGGGACTATGTAGGAGAGCTAATTTCACGCTGTGCATCCCCAAAACTCTTCGAAGGGGTCTCCTATTTCTTTCCCCTTAAAATAGTCTACATAACACATAATAGCTTTCTTGGTACAGTACGTAGTCCATGGCCACTTCTGTGGTTACTCCACTTTTTTTTCCCCACTTATTTGACTGCACAGCTACTCTACATAGTGCTCTATAGATTTCACTTTCGGGTGTCCAATTTTGAATTAATTGATCTATCCTTTCAGGTGAAAAATTTAATGACGTGGTTGGCAGCCCATATTACGTTGCTCCAGAAGTGCTGCGAAAGTGTTATGGTCCTGAAGCAGATGTCTGGAGTGCTGGGGTAATTGTTTATATTCTCCTAAGCGGAGTTCCTCCTTTCTGGGCTGGTGAGAATTCTGGAATTTTTTGCTTGTTGAAAATTACATCTTTCCTATTTCTGTCTATATCTCAACTTTTTTTTGGGTGGGTATCTATATTTCAACTAACTCCTAAAAGATACACATTATAACTATTTTATCATTTCTTTCCTTTTCTTCCTTGTCATAATTATAGAGACCGAGCAAGGAATATTTGAACAGGTTCTGCATGGTGATCTTGACTTCGAGTCTGATCCCTGGCCAAGTATTTCAGATAGTGCAAAAGATTTAGTGAGGAAAATGCTCATTCGAGACCCCAAAAGGCGCTTAACTGCACATCAAGTTTTGTGTGAGTCTTTTTAGTTGTGTTGCTTTTAAGTTGTTTTAACTGATTTATAATTATGACATTAGGACCACTTCATTAACAACTGGGAAATGTTTTATTTTCTCTTTCCTACAAAAAGAATAAAAAATTTAATTAATAGAGGGGAAGTTGTATTGGGTAACACTAGTCACTTTCCAACATTGAATAAATTAATGGTATGTGGTATTTAAAACTGAACGTACATTTGGACTTTTTGAGTTCATTGCCCTGTTCCTTGTGGTACAAATTCTTACATTTTAACCCTTGTGGACTGTCACTGTGTATTTAAACACAGAAATGTCGTCCAAGTGGTTGATTTTCATTATAAGATTCTTGTTTCTAAGGTTAGTGGTAACACAATGCTTGAAATGTACACAAAACTACACAAAGGCATATTGGAGTTCCTACTACATATGGAAGGGCTTATTATGGTTACTTTTTCGTTAGTGTTGATCAATTCAAAATTTTTGAACTGTGTGACATGATCGAAGTTATCTAGCCCCATTACTATCAAGTTATCTGTAGTGTTAATAGAACCTTTTCTCTTTCTAAACAAGTCAATAGAAAGGAGTTTGCTTCTAAAATCTTCCTGGTTAATCAACTTTTATAAAATTATAGAATCTTCACTGACCAGACAACATTTTCCAACTGCATTGGATTCATGTTAGTTTTTAGTGTTTTTTTTTTTTTTCCCCAAAAGAGCAAGCTAACAAAATATTTTTACTATTTGTAAAGAAATAAATAATTATGTGATAGTACGAGCTCCTTTCTTCCTTCCGTTGTTCATCACCCTTTTTTTTTTTTTTTTTTTTTTTTTCATAACTGACTTTAACAATTTTCTTTCCTTCTTTGAATGCATTTCAGATGACTTTTGTGGGTTTTGCTCGCCATTTTTAGATTGTTCAACTCAAAAACATAATTTTCATGTACTTCTCATAAAACCATTCTTGGCTATAATAATAGTTCACAACTCTTGCTTTAGCTGAATTTTCAGTTTTTTTTGTGTGCCTTTTAATTGATCATTTTCTCGAGTTTCTTTTAATATTATGACTGTCCAAAGTCTCTATGGTTATTTTGTGTTATTAGCTATTCTGGATTTGATTTCACATTTCAATCCTGAAGCGTCCTATTTTGAATCTTTACTTGGACAACCTTGTTGCTGAGACGTAGTTTAATTCCCTCACAGGCCACCGTTGGGTTCAAGTTGATGGTGTGGCTCCTGACAAGCCTCTTGATTCAGCAGTTCTTAGTCGCATGAAACAATTTTCTGCCATGAACAAGCTCAAGAAAATGGCTCTCAGAGTAGGTCACTGCACGGGAAAGACGTGTTCTTGGAAAAAATACCACTTGAGCTGAAACATTTGTTCTTTGGATTTTCAATTGATGAAAGAATATATTTTTTCCTTGCAGGTTATTGCAGAGAACCTATCCGAAGAAGAAATTGCTGGGCTGAAACAAATGTTCAAGATGATAGACACTGACAACAGTGGTCAAATCACTTTTGAAGAACTCAAGGCCGGACTCAAAAGAGTTGGTGCTAATCTTAAGGACTCTGAAATTTACGATCTAATGCATGCAGTAAGTATCAGGCAAATATACATAATTTTTTGAGCTAAATTCTAAAGACATGTTTAATAACCAGTATAAGATTTTTGGCACTTTTGGGATTGGATATCATGGGATTAGTGCCAGGATTACTAATAAGTAGGATAAAGAATGGGATTATTATATATACCTTAGGAGCAATTATACTATGTTTGATTAGGGTATGATATAACATGGGATAAGAGGGGGGATTTATTTTTGACCATTGGATGGAGTGATGTGGCTAATCCATGGCCATGAGATTAACAGTACCATGGGGGTAGTATTACTAATCCCACCATTTTGAAGGATTAGCAATGCCATGGTGCTAGCAATCCCATCCCTTTTTCCCAACCAAACGCATTATTAACAATCCCCCACCCCCTCAATCCCCTCTCCATATACCAAACATGGCTTATGTTATGAGCCCAACATGTCCACCAAAGTTGGGAGCTTTCTTTTGTGCTTAAGCGCGATTGAGACATTCATTTTCAGTGCATCTCCTTTGAATTTAATAATTACATGGGATTAATTTCAAGAAGATGATTCCTCCGAAGACTTTGTTCCTTGCAACATATTGATTTCTTCATCTTGCTCACAGAGAAAAAAGAAAAAAGAAATAAAAACTACTTTCAGAGGTGGTGTTATTAATATTTTGACAAATATCATATATATATTTTTGTTTATATCCTTTGCTTTGCATCCTTTTGTCTAAATGTGTGGATATCATTTTACCAAAGCATTGAAGTGTTTCTCTGTTTCTAAACACTTTCTTATGCCTGGAGAATGATATAACTTAAATTGTCGTTGATCCTATTGCATTTTCTGAAATTGCAGGCAGATGTTGATAACAGTGGAACAATTGATTACGGAGAGTTTGTAGCTGCTACATTGCATCTGAACAAAGTTCAGAAAGAAGATCATCTATTTGCAGCTTTCAACTACTTCGATAAGGATGGAAGTGGTTATATCACCCCAGATGAGCTCCAACAAGCCTGCGAGGAGTTTGGCTTAGAGGACGTCCGCTTGGAAGAAATGATCCGAGAAGTTGATCAGGACAATGTAAGTTGTTCATTTCTGTCACATTACCACTTGTTACTGTATCAAGGATTAATGATTGGATAGAGCGGGAAGTTGCCACATTGTCCTTGATTATGATGCACGGAACCATTCTGCTGTTGTGCAGAATCATGGTTTCAATCACACATAAAACAGTAAAGACAAACACACATAGAAACAAGAGCACAGGATGGGCTCATAGATTACGGCTCCGTTTGGCAAGTTGGGTTGGAGGCTTTTTTGGCTATTTTAGCCACAAAAGACAAAATAGGTTATTTTAGCCACAAAAAACAAAACATCACATCTAACCCATAATCATTACACTCTTCTCTCACAAAAAAAGTCAAAAAAGCCAAAAAACCAAAAAGCCCTTCCCAAACCAGGCTTTTTAGCCTAGGCCAAAAAAGCCAAAAAAGCCAAAAATCCAAAAAGCCAACCCACTTCCCAAACCAAGCCTACATTGCATTGCTTCTAAATCAAACTTTATTATCATGAACAAAAGAAATTCCGGATTTATGTGTCATATGATTATTTATGTTTTTTCATTCAAAATTTTCAGGATGGGCTCATAGATTACAATGAGTTTGTGACCATGATGCAAAAAGGAAATGCAGGCGCCGGTGGAAAGAAGGGCCTGGAGAATAGTTTCAGCATGGGGTTTAGAGAGGCATTAAGACAGTAGCAGCAAAGGTTTTGGTGAGGCTTTTGTTAATTTCTTTGTTATTTTTTATTTACTTTTTATTTTCTTCCCTCCAAATGGTATATTTATAGAGTTTGGATTGTATAGCACGGAGCGCTGGTGCTCGCCCGAAGGGGCAGCCTTGCTCCCTCAAGAGTATACTCTTTGATTTCATTCAGATTTCCATTTTGAGCTGGTTTTGTGACTGAATCCCTCTCTATTTCATTGTATGCATTTAGGGTTGCAAATGAACAGAGCCGTTCATGAACAGGCTTGGGTTCGGCTCGGTAGGAGCTCGTTCGAACTCGGTTTGTTAAATTTGTTTTTGTGTTCGAGCTCGAGCTCGAGCTCGTTAAATTTTAAATAAACAAGTACAAACATTCTAAAACTCGGTTCGTTAGCTGGCTTGTTTAATATTTATTATTTATATATTAAATAATGTAAAACTGTGTATAAAAAATAAGATAAATATGTTATTTATATATTTAAAAAATATAAATGTAAATAATAGTTAGTTATAGGTAGTACATTTATATAATAGTAGTAATAGATATTATTTTGATAAAATATTGACTTTTTTTTAGAACGTTTATATATATTGTATATATAATTGTATAATCAAAGTTTTAATTATAACTTTAGTCTCATACACAAAGATGAATTTATAAATTTTTTAGCTCGTTAAGGCTCGTGAACAAGCTCGAGTTTGAGTCAAGTCTAAACCAATTCGGCTCGAGTTCGTTAAATTTTTATTGACTTCGAGTTGAACTTGAGTTCGAGTTTGAGTTTGTTAAAATCTTAATAAACAAGCCTAAACATATTAAAATTCGGCTCGGCTCGGCTCGTTTGCAGCCCTATATACATTGTTGAGGAGAAAGACTAATTTGTTATTTTTTTGATAATTTTTTTCTTCAAAATTATATTCTTCTTCTTCTTTTATTTATTTACTAGGGATGACCCGTGCCTGAAGGCACTACCAACAATTATTTTGGTGTCACATGCTACGAAACTCAATGATAATAAATCAATTCCAAATGGTAATGTTATTCCGACTTAAAACTTCACATATAAGAAATTGAAATTGTTTCTGCACATTGAATTAGCGAAAGCATTTATAAATTTCAAATTGCAAATTTCAAAATTAAAATCCAAAAAATGAATTATGTATTTGAATGTAGCATATGCAAAGAATCTAAAAATATTTGCTAAACTTAAAAGTCTAAATAGCAAATTTTAGATTTTTATCCACGTCAAAATGATACACCTATACACAATAGCAAGTTAGAATGTGATAACCTTCAATAAAAGAATGTTATTGAATTAGTATTATAACTGGTAACCCTATCGCTTTATCAGGTTTAAATTCCTTCAAATAAAGGTCAATGAATATTATGATACAAAAGAATCATCCTAGCTAACCCAAAAATAAATAAATAAATAATTTAACATGAGAGAGCCAACCAACGACACACTGGTAGAAGCAACGTAACCCAATGTTTCTAATATGGATCAATGACCTGCAACAAAATCACTCGCTTAAATTCGCTTCAAAAAATCAATAGCTATGAAAAATCAAATCAAAATGCATATGAGAAATCGAAAGAAATTGTAATGAAGAATAATTGCATCAAAAGAAATTGTAACGTGAAAAATCGCATCAAAATACATATGAAAAATAGGAAAATCAATAGCTATGAATTAAGAAGAATTAAACATAACTATTATGGTCAATTGAATTATGTATGCATTACTAAAGTAAACAAATGAGAATAGACAATTGTTTGCATTACTAAAGTAAACAAATGAATAGAAAAGCAAATAATAGTATAGAAGGATCAATTGAGAATGCCGATAAATCATACAAACCTCCAAATAGAATTAAACTCAAATTTTGTAAGGGGAGCGAATAATTTTCTTTATTAAGACTAAGAGAGTCTTGTTATAAGGAAGAAGAATTTTTGAAGGTTGTAAAACCAAACAAAATTAAAATTTTAAACAATTAAAGCTTACCTTGTGCGAAGTATCCATTTTTGGATGACCATGCTCCTTTGAGTTTCCATCCCTGTGATAATGCATAACACATTTTCTAGTTGAAGCATTATGTATAACAATTAGTAGGCAACAAAAAAATAATCAAACTTGAAATTAATGTTAATGGGCAAATCTAACTAAAATTAAACCCAAGGTTAATTAAATAAAATTAACTGTATTATTTTTTTAAACAAAGATTACAACCAAATACTTGTGCTAGTTCATTTATCATTTTAATATTTTTGGAATCAAAACCATTCAGAAACACATTTAAATCTAACTCATTTTTTTAAAAAAAAATCATTACATGAAGATAGGTTTCTAAAATCTAAACTATTTCAAAAAATTATTACATGAAATTCACAGCTTTTCCTCACCTCATACCCAACACCACATTTGCCTCAAACCAATCAATTGACCTGCCTACTAAAAAAAAAGGGATTACATACTTTTCACTTTCTAGGTGATTGATAACATGTTGTATACTCCAAATCAATCACTAAGAATTTGCCCACAACATTTAAGAGAACACTTCACCAACATTAAGGGTTGAAAGTGAAACCACCTTTTTCTTCACTTATGAGGTACCATTATGCATAATCATCCAATTAAAAGTATAAAGTATGTTTAAACTACTTTAAGCATAAAGTAAGTTTATGCCATCACTCATTACTCCAGGATGACTAACTAATAACATAGATGGTCTACTAAATTTATTTAGTTCCAAAACTAAATATTTGAAGAAAAAAAGAAACAACCAATTGGCTTAAAACTGGCTTTTATTAATCTGGACCTCTTTACTGTTTTTCTTTTACAAATTCTTTATAGACCTCATTGAACCAATCTCAGCATTGTTTATAGAGTCTTACAAAATAACTGGCAAAGCTGAAAGTATAATTTTTTTGGGTAAATTACAAATACACCTCTGAAGTTTGCTTAAAATACGAATTGTTCCCAGTGGTTTGGAAAATTACAAATACCTCCCTGTCAGAATTTTTTATTTAACAAAAATAATTGAAAAAGTGAAATTTCTAACTGTTCACCTATACAATAATCAAATTACTTGAATTATTAATTGAAATAAAATTTTAACATTATTAAAAATTGTTAATTAATTTGATTATTTATTAATAAAATGACATTTATTATGAAATTAGAAACTTTAGAGGACATAATGTAATTTCTAGAACCACAGGGGGTAATTTGTAATTTAAGTAAATCTCAAGGGGTGTGTTTACCCTTTTTTATTTATTTATCACAACTTACAATCCTCACTCTGAAAATAAAATAAAAAATGAGAGGAGAAGAAGAAGAAGAAATAAATAAAGAAAGAAAGAAAAAAAAAAGAAAAAAAAAAAGAAAGGAAAGAACAGGCGCAACTCTTGTACAAAATAAGAGATGATTTTCACCCAATAAAATCAATATATATTGAGTTAAGAGTCACAGGGGTAAAGGGAAGAAGAAAAAAAAAATTGACTCTAACCCATCCAATCAAAATTTTAATTTATTATAATCATATTAGTTTGTCACATCTATTTTAAAATGAATATACAATTGTGCCTACATTGTTTAAATTTTAAAATGAAAATTTTAATTGATTATAAGCACTGGTAAAGTTATAAGGTGTGGAAAAAGTAGTAGGCAAAGTTATTCTATTGAATCAACCTGATCTAAATTTCTTTTCCACCCCCAAAATCACCTATATCAAGAAGAAAAATTACAATAAAAAGAAACTCCATAAATACACTTCTAGTTCCCCAAACAAAGATATAAAATTGTGAAGAAAAAAGAAGGCTCACTTGTTTAATGGGTCGTTGTGCCATTGCTCTCCATTTCTTGAAAAATTCACTAATAGACCCACACAACACTTCCATTCATTGTATAACCTGAATTTTTCAAGTCTAATCAAAACAAAGCAAAATCAAACATAAAGGCATTCTAAACCATGCTAATTTTCAAAATTATAGTAAAAATTATCACAATGATTATCATCAAAATTGTATGAAATTCAAAAATTAAAATAGAAGGCCCAAGTTATCACCATAAAAAAATCAAGTACTCGCTCTTCGTAGTTCTGAACCTAATAATCCAAAAGATAGCAACATGTAAATAAAGTCTATCTAATAAAAATTTAAGATTCTTAATTTTCACAACATGTAAAATCCAGCCAAGTTGAACAATAGATAAGTAACAAATTATTGACAAATCCATCAATTAAAGGCATACCAATTACCTAACCAACCATTGTAGCAGACAAAGCCATAACAACTTTTTATCAAAACTTATAATTCTCACTCTAAAAGTAAAATAAAAAATGAGAGGAAAAAAAAAAAAAAAAAAAAAAGAAAGGAAAGAATAAGCTCAGCTCCTGTAAAAAATAACAGACGGTTTTCACCCAATGAAACAAAAATATATTGAGTTAAGAGTCACAGGAGTAAAGGAAAGAAGAAGAAAAAAATTGACTCTAGCCCATCCAATCAAAAATTTAATTTATTATAACCACATTTTTTTGTCACATCTATTTTAAAATGAATATACAATTGTGCCTACAGTGCCTAAGTTTTAAAATTAAAATTTTAATTGATTATAAGCAGTGGTAGAGCTATAGGGTGTGAAAAAAA